CTGATTTAACAATTTGAAAAAAAGGAATTCTGTTTTCTAATTAGTGCTAGTAGCAGGACGAACGACCAAATCCATCGCCGCTCATCTTCCTTTGGAAATGCGTCTTGCACAAAGCGCATGACATGGATAGACTGGCATGGTCGTAGTCCAGCCAGGGTCGACTTTTTTTCCAAGAGTCTTGGAAAGCGTGAGTTCTTTTTCTCTTCGCTGCGGGTTCCATCGTCCAAATCACCAGTCGGCTGAAAAATTGCAACTGTGTCAAGGCTAAAGCCAAAGTAACGCTTTTGACTGCCTGCCCCATCGGCATCGACTTTGTACATGTATGTCCTGACTTCCTGCTCGCCGCTAGCTGGCCAGATCGCGCTCAAACCAGTTGACGTCCATGACCGCAGTTGACCCTAGCCGAGTTTCTGTCGCTTGTAGACTGTAGTGTGTACGGTTGCGCTAGATTTGCAACAGACGGGGTCCGCGAGTCGTAAAATACCGGAATTTTATGAATCCATTGTCAGTTTGAGACATTTTTCAGCCGGGTCAGACTGGACCCGGTGTTATCTGTTCAGCCAGGTCGTGAAGTTCCCCAGCCGGGCGCGTGACCCGGCTGACCCGGCTCTCCAGCAGGCCCTGCCACCACGAGTAGATCTACTACAGCTGTAGTACTAGAACTAGGTCGATTCTATTCTAACGCTAGCTCTTGGCATTCGCAATCCCCGTCACCCCAACCTGGCAGCACTCGACACAGCCCCTCCCCCCTCCGACTTACTCCCTCACTAGTCATGATTCATGGTGCTATGCTTATGCATATGCCTGTCTATGACCGTATGTCAGTATGACCCGATGCTATGGGTCCTGGGCCGGCAACTGGCAACATGCCCGGTTGGAGGCAGGAAGAGGAACCGGTTGTACGGATCGCAAGCCCAAGCTTCAACACTATGCCACAGAGCGTCAGGGACCTCTTCTTGTTCTGAGCGCATTGCACGAAACGCTCGGTCCAATGTCTGTGCTCTGTAGCTTGTATTTGACAAGCCCATGACTTGTTGCAGTCCGGCAGAAGAGCGTACTCCGTTAGGGGAAGGTTCCTGCAAACCAACCATTGCCAAGCTCAAGGAAGAGGACGACGCCCGCGCCCGTGCCACAAAATTTGACGTTTTCACTGGCGTAGCTTCGGACAGCTAGTGAAGTGGTCGTATCCCTTTCTCATCAGCCATCATGTTTGAGTGTGGTTGGTGCCGCCGGCCAGTGGTGTCGCAAGCGCATCCTGGTCGTTCAGTATTCACTCAATTCAGAAAGGAATTGAGTGGGTGCAAAGTACTACTGCTTACAATTGTATCGCTGTGCGCAGCAGGTGCACGAGCAAAGTTTCAACCGATAGACCAGGGAAGTCAAAACATCTTCCACGGAAATCCCATTACCGTTGGACTCGACAGCCACTGGGGGTTGCCGACGCAAAGGCAAAGTGCAAAGGCGGACATTGCGCTTCGGATCTTCGCTCCCTTTCACCGTGCCGTCACACCCAGACCAGGCCAGCGGTGTACTGACTTGGATGTTCGTCAGGCGGTGGCCATTGCTGAGGCTGTGCGCTTGGCAACCCAACTTGTCAATGACAAACTGTCGTCGTCGGGCCGACTAAACAAAACAGTGGGTTTCGAACTGTACGACACGTGTGGTTCGCTGCCAGTTGCAATATACTGGGCAAGCAGCATATGGAGTATGAGTGAAGCCGATCACCACCCAGCACTGCGCCAGAGCTCTAGTGATGCGATATGCTCGTGTAGACTGGAGGACAAAGCGTCAGACATGGCACCGCCAGATCACCCCCGGTCAGTGGATCGCAAATGCAAGGAACCAGAAACAAGTCCTCAGCGGCAGGGACTCACCTTGACAGAGATGTCCAGTGATGGAGACTTCTTGGACATAGCATCTGGCAATGCGGGCGAAAACTGCCCAGGTCCCTCTGGCCAAGTGACTATGGGGCATCCGAGGCATACCATCTACCCACGTGTATCCATCGGACCCTACTCAGCGAGTGTTGTTTCTGCCATGTCGCCGTACCTGCAGTCACAATCCACGCCTGTACTGCACATTCTTCCTGTTGCTACAAGCAGCAAGACAAGCGATGTGCTACATCAAAACCGTCTGGAGCTTGCGCCGCAGCTGCATGAACGAGTGGACGCTCTTCTTGACTTGTGCGTTGCACGCGGCTGGTCACACATAGCCTTGCTGACCGGAAGCACCGCAGAAGACCTTGAGCTCAAGTCGCTGGTCCAGTCGAGAGCCGCCATCAAAGGTGTGTGTCTGGCCGTGGAGACCACTATCAGGGAGCACGCAGGCAGTGACCTGCACACGCACGTGAGAACCCTCTTTACGCAGCACATTGCGCAGATCGCAACACTCACAGTCGTCATGCTGCTGGCTAACGAAGACACTACGGCGGACATTGTGATGGCGTGGCATCACTTGCGACTCAAGTGGAAGCCAGGAGATGGCAAGCAGCAGTACACCTGGATAGGCCTTCAGGACTGGGCGTATGTCACCAAGCTGATCCGCAATAACTGGCAAGGCAGTTCGCATGCGCCCAGTGTCACATGGATCAGTCCGACAGCTGCACACGCACAGTCCACCCTGGTCGGAGTGTCGTGGGACGAGATAGAAACTCGCCTTCGCCTCCAGTTGGACGACAGGAAAGTGACGCCGTCAGACCTGAAGCGAAACCCCCTGCTCGCTCCGACCTGGGAAGAGGCGCACCGTTGCCAACTGACATGCACAGCCAGTCACCAGCTAGCGGGTAACAGCGATTGCCAGTGTCATCACCCTTTCGCCAGGCATGCAGTCCCGAATAACTGGTTCACCACTCGCAGTAAACAGTCGGTGAAGTGGCCTGATGATAACTGCACAGGTACTGAGCCCAATCCAGTCTATCAGCTGTCCACTGCACTAAGCATAATGAACAGCGCTTTCCTGAGTGCTTTGCAAGCAATTCAGCTTATTGAAAATGCTGTGAAACAATGCCAGAAAGAACCCATCACATTAAAGTTGCCGGATGGGTATAGCAGGAAGTTTGTGAGTGTTGACCAAACACCAGAACACTTTTGCAAGCAACTCCAAGCCTGGTATGACGGGCCACAGGACCCCCAGCAAAGATCACTGTCTGAAGAGGACGATTCTTTCCGGCAAGACTTGGAGACTATTGTCCTTAGTGCAGAAGCATTTCACGATCACCTGTCCGCGGAGCATCCCAGGAAAACTTCACCATTTCGCCATCGCATTCTCAGGCTAGCAAAAGACTGGACTGTGCAAGATCTGAAGGAGCGCTACTCCTCGGCGAGCAAGCGTCGGCATGGCACAACAAGGCAATGGCGACCATCCCGTTGCACAGCATCCTGTTCCAGTGGCTTTCAGCGGATAGTTCCTGACATGTTGCGGTCATGCTGTGCTGTTTGTGTGAAGTGCCCTGCCGGCATGATCAGCAGCAGCAACACATCACACTCCTGTCAGCTCTGTCCCAGTGGCTACCAAGCAAATGCACAGCAGTCAGCTTGCACCCAGCTACCATTGCAGTACGCCGAGTGGACCGACAGTATGTCACTGGTGTTGCTCGTCGGGAGCCTGATAGGGGCACTGTCAGTTCTCGCCACTATTGTCGTGTTCTGTATTCACCGTGACAACCCGGCAGTGAAAAGTGCCGACTTTCCCCTCAGCATCGCACTGCTTCTTGCGCTCTTGATGAGCTTTGTGTGCGTGTTAGTTCTCTTTTGGCCACCGTCGGATGAGGTGTGTTTTCTGCACACCCTCCTGGTGCCCATTTGGCCTGGCATCTACGTAAGCTGCCTAGCTATCAAGACCAATCGTCTGAGAGTGGTGTTCCAGTACGTGCGGCGTCTGGCATCTGGCGGCCTTGCAGCTGTCAGCAGCACAGTCCAGATTCTAGTCCTTCTCGCAGCATCAGTGGTTCTTGGCGTGCTCTTGACGGTCTGGTCCGTTTCGTCTCCGCACAAAGCCGAGATCACGGTCAGCGATGACAGCCGTGTGCTGCGCTGCGAGCAGCTGAGCATGCACTACGCAATTGTCTACTTCCTGTGCGTCCTGTTCCTGATGGTCTTCACGCTGATGATGGCGTTCTCCACGCGCCACCTGCCCGAGTACTTCAACGAGTCTCTGTACATTGCAATTGCCAGCGCCATGGTGCTAGTGTGGTGGGTTATCTTGGTACCGGTGTACTTCAACTCGCACCAGCTACCGCCGGCCACCACCCTGGCGTGCATCATACTGGCGCAAGGCTGGTCGATATTCGTCTCGCTGTTCCTGCGCCGCCTCTACTTCCTGTCACGTCCGCCCATACAGCTGGCGCGGCATCTCTTCGGCAGCACCACGTCATCACAGGAGAACGACAGCATACCCGCCAACCTCCCTCCGATGTCACCCTGACTGCGGCGGCTTGGTGATAATCACTTACCGCAATCCCTGATGATCCTGACCTTGTAACGTACTTGAGATAAAAACAATGAACATGCCTTCGTGCCTTCTCAATGTTTACGGACCTATACTATGTGAATTGTGTTTTTGTTGATGTAGTGTTCATGATTATGGCAAAATTTCGATTTTTAACTAAACATTTTCCTAGTTTGGATGTAAGATTATAACTAATAATTATAGTAATAAAGGATACTCCATCCGTGTGTGTCAGAGACCTAAAACTGAGCGGATTACATTAGTGTACATGACATACTCTGTACACATGGTACATGGGAAATGACAGTACTGTACGTAGTACCTGTGACAGGCTGAATACCCGGAATTTACTGCCCAGGTGCGAACTACAGTATGCGCGCATGCAGCAAATGATGCATCCCCGTTTCAAGAGTTTCTCGGTGGCTTTAGACATCAGCTATGCACCGAGGCATACCTCACGGTGCACTATTCTAACACAAAGGAAACTGAGAAATAACATGCATGCAACTCGAGAAAACCAAACCCTATAAGCCTGAAACATTATGATCCCACGATTACATCGAAAACATCATTTCTACCAGAAACATAGCAAGTTCTCTTCCTGGTTTGTATGATACCATCCAAGCAGCAGAACCAGCGAGCTACATAACAATACTAGTGCCTAGTTCCAAACCCTAACTAGCCAGAGTACATAAATAGGAGTAAAGGCAAGAAAGAAAACAAGAAAACATACATGGGTATGACTGCACAACACACACAGGTTCAACCCAACCGAGTCATATGTCCTGTCTCACTAGTCTGTTGTTGTGTGGAACGGTGAGACCATCAGGGAGGTCAAGGCAATTGAAAAAGGCAATTCCATTGGGTATAAAATATAATTGTCATAAACTCTGCGTCAAGTGATGCCACTTGGAGTAAGGCAAGAACACTCGTCATAAGAATCACTAAAAATGAACTTAGGCTCAGCTCATAAGGGTGGTAGCGGCAGGTGGTGGTGTGGATTATCATGTTCAGGAGGCCTGTGCTAAGAGTTGAATGTGTGTATGAAAAGGGAAGAGATTGCTTTGATATCTGGACCTAGGCACTCGCCTCTCTGCGGCTCTGACTCCACTGTGACTCTCTCTCAGAGGCTTTGAAGTATGGCAAATTTCAGAAGACACACACACAGAGACTACGCAGCATATGCAACACAAGGCACCCATAGGCTACTAGTAGTTCAAAAACGTTTCCAGACAGACAGCACTGGCTGATGCACGGAGCCAGCACTCTTCCGTCTGATGTTTCAAAATGGTGATCGCTTACCAGGCGAACAGCAAGCAGATGGCAACCAGGAGAAGGCTGGCAACAATCTGGCCTGCACTGCCGCTCTGGCCCTCGCCAGCTGCATAGTTGAGACACGTGTTCTCGGCGAGTTTCTGCTCCACCACCGGTGCCTGTGTGGTGCCTGGAGTCTGTCCACCGCCCTCAGGCTCGCCTTCTGGCTCTCCCTCTGGATTCGGCGTTGTTGTTCCCTCGGGCTCAGCAGTGCCTTCTGGCTCAGCCGTTCCCTCGGGTGTGCCTTCTGGTTCAGCTGTTGCTTCGGGCTCGGCGCTTGGAGCTGCAATGGGAGAATCGACAGGAAACAAATCAAACGACAACATTAGCTAAATTCAAATCATGCGCATGCTATGTGTATACGAGCCATTGACCAAGTAACGCTTGACAACCCATGAATCATATGGCAGATGTGTGGGTGTTCTGCTGGTTTACAAATACATGCAGAGTGAAATGTGCCAGAGCTTGACACTAGCGGTATTGTAAGAATGCCTACTGCGGTGCAGGATTATACTCTGGCAAGATCGCCATGCACATCCGTGCGCGCACACAGGCGCGTACACATGCACACACAAGCACCCCTAAAAAACGCGCACACGTTGACATTGAGCGAGGAATTATCGCTACATGTAAAACAAACGGAGAGGAGACAACAATTTGATAACCGCAATCAATAGGACAAGCTGCATCGACACGTTAACAATTCACAAACAGGAACAGTGTAACAACGGCAAGTTCTTCAAAGTCCGGCACTGGACATAGAGCACTGTACGCAGACTGAGGATCTTAGACACCCCGGCGGCTGTGTAAATTACCTTGGCAGGCGGCGACCAGCCTGTCGGTGGCGATAGTCGGGGGCAGAGTGTGCTGGGTGATAGTGTCGCCGTTGGCAATAGACCCGTAGGCGTACACCAGGTAGCTGTTAGGAAAGGAGATGTCCTGCGTGTCGGTGGACAGGCAGTCGCGCGTGAACTTGATCTTGTGCACGCCATTCACTACGCTGTACGAGGCGCTAGACAGCTGAGCTTGGTCGGCATCGACCGCAGGCAAGAAGTATCCGGTTGCGAATCTGCGTAGCACAGATAAGGTACCACAACCACAGCTATGAACCCAGCCTATAGCAACACATGACGTAAATATTAGAAAGGTAAGATTGCGCTGCCCGGTACCCTGAATGTCATTATGCTGTTCAGTACCCTGAACACTAGTAGCAGCTCTTGGCAAGTTTTATTATGATTTAGTTTTTACGAAATACACAAACCCGGCCTACCCAGTAAAGAAAACTAGAGGAGAGTTGCCATGGCTCCGCTACCTTAGTACAATGTGGAGTGAGTGTACTGCTATGAAAACTTAAGCTGTGTTCACAACTGGCGCGTGGACGCGGTACGCTTGTGGTTTATGCGTGCCAAACGCACGCTCAAGCTTTCAAAAAAAAGCAATCCGAGTCGTATTTAGCACGTGCGACACCTTCGAGTACTAATTTGTTGACCCCGCCAGTCAAAGCGAGTGGCATGTACGCTGCTACACGCCTGATACGCGCTGAAAATTCCAACATGTTGGAAGTTCCATTTCGGCGCGTTTCCGTACGTATGGCGCCCCAAAAGCCAGCAAAAATACGCACAAACGCGTGGTTTGCACGCGTACACGCGCCAGTTGTGAACACAGCTTTATTCGCACTATGCAACTGCCATGGCATGGTCATATCAGCTTGAATAAGGCAGTCAGCAGTGTGAAAAGCAGTGGCGCAAAGTCTCCCATGTTCATTCGTGGGTCTTCCGACAGTTTGCAATGATCTCTGCTTGCGTCCACACACACCCAGAGGAAGACTATGGGGGAGTGAGCCAGCCAATCCCTTACCGATCCGCTGTCGAGATGGCACCATTCTTAAGGAAAGCTGTAGTCATGTCAGTCTGGGCCTGTAAGCGAGCACACAAAACACGAGCAAGCCGGGCATGAATATCCAATGGAGGGCACATGCAGGACACATCATCAATAGCATTATGTGACCAACATGCACACCCGGCAAACAAGGAAGACGACGTAAACGCTCTCCTACAGGGCAGTGGTACTAAGTCAGTGTTGCCACATCATTCTAGCCAAATATCAGTAGCATGAAAAAATAAAATGCATCATCCGGGGGCTTTCGCCCCCGGACCCCCCCCCCCCCCTATATAGCGACCTCATGCGGCACTGATAAGAAAAAAACATTTCACGGTTTTGCGTGACACTCAGGCTGAGTTTGCCGATTTTTCCCCCGAGACGGATGATTTCGCTTAGGGCCGATTCCCACTACGGTACCGTGAGTGCCGTGCAGTGAGTACCCATGGTGATTTGCTCACGTGAGGGGCAGTTTTGGCGCGAGTTCATTCCGTGGCTCCTGCCGTACCGCGCCGGGAAATGGCATGCCGTGGTATTCCGCGAGGTCGAATGCAGTAAGTAGTAGGTATTTTACTACTCCCTGAAAGGAAGTTTTTTCTTTCTTTTGTATTTGTGGTACGAAGTTTTTTCTTGGCTTTTCGATTGGTTGATTCTTGAACTTTCTCCAGTCATCTCCCCGGCCCCCGCTATTTTCCCTCAGGATCAAAGTCAGAAATTGATTAAAAAAAATGGTGATCCGGCCTGCCGACGGAATGCACGGAATGACTGTGCGCAGGTGTAAATCACTCTCAGCTTCAAGCTCGTACCGTGGGGTACACGTGACCTACCCAAATCGTCGGCACGGCACTAGCACTCACGGTACCGTAGTGGGAATCGGCCCTTAGCGCCTCAGGAGAGAGCTATGGAAACACTCGTGATGCGCAGTAAAAGTCAAAAATCTGGACCATGACTCCTAAACCATGCATAAGGTCAAACTTGAACACTTTCATGGCTGTTGTCGGCAGGAGAAGGTCAATTGTCGGCAGGTCGCGACATGCCTCAAAAATCGGCAGGCTACTGACATGTCGGCAGGTGTGGCAACACAGCTAAGTGTGCGCAACATACTGTTGCCGACATTGAAATCTGTCGAGAAGTCAAGCGGCCACGGGCCGTGCAGCCGTGAGGACTGCCGGTCCATAAAATTTATTTATTTTTTTTTACAGTATTTCAGTGCATGTATGCGCTAAGCAAATGAGAGGGTGCCGACCGCGGGCGATCATTCCACTGGATTTCTATATACACAGCAGTACTAAGTCTTGTACACCACTTTGTGCTTTTCTTTAATTCGTGTGTCTTGTACACTGTGTGCTTTTCTTTAATTCGTGGCGGCCTATCCTCACCATCTGGCGGTTGGTGCTGGTACCGAGCGCCACCCAGTTGTTGGCGTTGTTCCACTCGATCTCAATATTGATCTTGGAGCGTGTGCCGTCAAGGTTGCCCTTCACCTTGTAAGTACATCCAGCACCAGTACAGTCGCCAGGAGTCTTCCAGCCTGAGCACAGCACAATCACAGCGCAAGCACAGCACAACATTACAACGCATGCAGCCATTAGTGAGTGGATTCGAAGCAACCCTCAGCACGTTCATCCCCTGGTACTGCGAGCCAAGAAGCTCACCCCTGTTGTAAAATGATGTGCTGTTTTCCTGTGTGATGACATTCCCCAAACTGTCTCGTCTAGTCGCGTGCATGTGTGCTATGAGCATGCACGATTTTGTAGTCGAGAGTCCTTTCCTCAGTCTTCTTGTTCGTCTCTGTCAGAGTAGTCTGCTTTTCCGTACTGTCAATAATAATAATAATAATAATGTAACAAATGAGTACTTGTCCTTTGTGTCCTGTGTCCCGGGGAACGGAATGGCTGTGATTCCGTTACACCCCTCATCTCTCCAGTGGTTGTCAAGCATAGTGATGAAAAGAATATCAAGATCTGTCAGTCGATGTCATGTAACAAGGCAAACTTTGCCTGTTCGTTCTTCTACTCCAAATAAACAAACAGCAGCAAACAAGCAGAACAGGGAGATGGGTGCCCACACTGCTCTACATGCGCCGTAGGCACACGTTTCGTCTGACAAAACGGATGTGCACGCATGAGATCACACAATAGCAATGTGCACGGGATCTGCACGGCAATGTGCCGGACACTGTGGAGACACCCAAGCAACTGAGTTGAACTTACTGATGAGATCCGCCGGTGTTCCAGTGGGCACTGCAGCGCAAGTACGTGAGATAGATAGAGAGAGAAAGAGAGACGGGAGATTAATAAGGGCACTGCAGACAGACGACTCTAGTACAAGGCTCTTGCATTAGCTTTGTATCTTTCTAGCAACATTGGCACAGAACGAATTGGTCACGTGGTAAGTTAGCATCTGTCCAATACTAAAGATAATTGAATTTTGTTTGCCTTCCGCTTATGTTATCTAGCAGTCCATTGGCTTCTGTCTTGTGCAGTATTTTGTGTTTTTGTTTACAGACAGTCCTTTGTAGATATCTTGGTCAGAGTCTATTTGTTTGTTCACTTACCTGGAGTGAGTTTGGAGTTGAAGTCAACCGAGATTGAGCCGCGGTTGTTCCTGAAGCCATGATACTTCATCTCGTCATTGTGGTAGAACTGCGGATCACTGGCAGTGGTGACGTTGACTCCGCTGGGCATCACATTGAATGTGTATGCACCCTGTCGCTGACCGTGGGCCCAGATGACGTTCATGGGTGAAGACAGTGTGAACGGATGGTCATATGCAGAGTCTGCGGTGTGGCAATTGAACATGCACAGCAGCAGAAGCAGCAACAACACCATTACATCACAATGTTATCACAATGTTTTACAGGGCTTGTTGAGCAGAGCCGGTAAGCATACATGTACCTACAAGTATTTTAGAAGGCAGTAGTTCTGTGCAATTGGAGATTGATATGCTTACAAGTACTATTTCTGTATACCTTTTGCAGCGCAGGCAAGGGGCAGCTGTGGGACAGAACTACACACACTCCATGGACTAACCTAGCCAGAGAGTAGCGTCTGCAATACTAACAACAAGAAAATGCAACACTTACTGGTGTTGAGTTTCCTCATGAACTTCACGTGCGTCCATCCATCTACTTCCATGCCAACCGCACCCTTCAGGTTGTCCTCACCACCAAAGAATGTATCGGGCTGTGGAGTGGAACGGTCGCGTGTGTACGCGTCTTGCAGGCGGAATGAGCAACCAATGGCAGAGGCCAAGACCATATCGCGACAGTCCATGGGATGGGGAAAATCTGCTGGTGCCTCTGGTTCTCCCTCGGGCTCTCCGGTACCTTCAGGTTCTGCGGTAGATTCGGGCTCTGCGGTTCCCTCGGGCTCTGCGGTGCCTTCGGGCGCGGCTGTTCCCTCGGGCGCGGCTGTTCCCTCGGGCGCGGCTGTTCCCTCGGGCGCGGCTGTTCCCTCGGGTGCGGCTGTTCCCTCGGGCTCGGCTGTGGCTTCTGGCTCAGGGTTGCCGTTCCTGTCGCACACGGGCAGAACTGACATTGGCTTGGCCTCGGGCTCGCCCTCCGGCTCGGCCGTGCCTTCCGGTGATCCTTCAGGTGTTCCTTCAGGTGCGGCGGTGCCCTCAGGTGTTCCTTCAGGTGCGGCGGTACCCTCACCCTCTGGTTCTGGCTCGCTGGCTGGTCGGCAACGGCGTGTAGAGGTACCTTCACAAGATGTACAGAAAATACAACAAGAAAAAAACTATGAAATAATCGCCGAAGTCACTGCCACTATGTCAAGAAGGTAGGGAAGAGAAAAAGGGAGGGATGCGTCCATTTCATAGTATGACTGCACTAGCTAAGCTTGCCGCTCACTCAGCCTCTGCCCAGGTCATGTGCAGATAAACAGCACATGCACAGCAAATCGTGTGATTAGCCGGGCTAAGAGTGGGCTTGTCAGATGTAGTCCTACTGCATTGCACTGCATTGCACCATTTTCTAGCCTGCTTGAAATGGATGATTCATGAATCCGCGATGGACAGCAAACCTGAAATGGAAAGCACCGCAAGAATTGCCGGCAATGACTTGCATGTGCCATGTGCACACTGCGGCGTGCATGCTATGTGCACGACGCATAAAACGGGTGAGTTATCAGTCAATTCTCAGCGGCACCGTGTAAGCATACGTCGTCAATGTAATATTGGTTTACCTCGTGCCAGAACACGGGGCTTGTCGAGGCACGACGCAGTCACAGCTGCAAGAGCAGAAAAAGCAAACAAGAAGAGAAATAGAATGAATGTTCATAACCTGGGTTTAGCAATATTATGCTATGCCTTTGCAGCGTGTGCATGTAGACCGTTGTGTTAGTCAGGCAAGTCTAGCAAGGCGGCGACGTTTCATATCAGTGTGTGTAATCCGGGTTCCGTAACAACTTGCAGCGACGGTCGACTGACGTGCCATATCTGTGCTCTAAGGACATGCCACCAGCCTTGAGTGTGCTCCACCCTTTTCTTTAGCTATAGCCATGGGAGCACAAATGAACCAGTCCTTTCTCTGCGATAAAGTCCCAATACGACCAATGATGGACTTGTTTTGCCAAAAAAACGAATCCAACTATTCGAAATCCTCAAAGTTTCGGATTTATTCATTAGTTTTCAGGAATGAACAGGGAAGTCTCCACTAATTTCTTGATTGAATAGCAGTCTCCACTAATTTCTTGATTGCATAGCATTTGCTTGCGGTATAAAATGAAGTTTTCTCTGAAGTCCCTGGTTCGAGTCCTGGCGGTGAAAGTCATTTTTTCCTCAGACTTTTCCCTTTTCCATTCCCTCAACCGATGAATGACGTTTCTCTGACTGTGAAAGATTTCTTCTGCAGTATATGCCTAACTAAGGAATACTTTTATATGAAAGGTGATCACAGTGACATAAGAGATCCTAGGCAGATTTTGTATCAGAGAGGCTAAACTCTGTATGCCATCTCATACTGGCTGAAGAGTGGAGCTGAACTTACTGTTTGGTCGCCAGCCCAGGCCAACCCAGCTGGAAGAGCGGACCTTCATCGCAATCTCAATCTCTGGCGTGGCACCCTGTGTGACCTTCCAGTACAAGTAGTAGTTGTCATTGACCTTCATCTTGTTCTGGTAATAGCCAGTCTCTTCGATGAGAGCATTTGTCAGTGTGGACTCTGTGTGGACAATTGAAAAGAGACACGGCAAGGAAATTGAACTCAGAGGAACTCTTGTGCGTGGGCTTGTCATGCTGCGCTGTGGCAAGAGTGCGGATGCCATTGGCACGTGTGAATGTGTGTGTGTGTATGCACATGTGAGGAGGGGCAACTTGAAAATAATCTGCACCCGTCTGAGTCAGCTGAGTGGGTACATTACTACATGCGTACTGTGGTACATCACCGTCGTTCTTTGTACAATGACTTCAATGCGATGTACCCACGTGTACACTGATATAAGTTAAGCATCTTGATAGGCTATGAGCATCCTTTGGTGTCAAGTCGCACAGACAAGAGCTTGTACATGTTTGAACTATTGCAGAATGCCTGAGACCCCACCGTTTCTAACACAAGCACTATAATTGTTATCGGCGTCAGAGAACACGTCAGCCATGAAACCGCCCAGCACAAGTGCCACAACTGTGAGCAACTACATCATGCATTTCTGTCACTGAAGAACTGTGAAAAGTGGGGAGTGACTCACGTTTGGTACACTTAGGGCCCATCCAGCCAGCACGGCAGTAGCACTGGTTCTTGGGGTAGGATGTGAACCCAAGCTTCTGACACACACCACGCCTGTAGCCACCGCAATCTTCGTCGTTGAGGCACTCGTCTGACATGACATAAGCACAAACAAAAAATGTAATTAGTTAGCAGGAGCAGAGGAGGAGGAGGAAGAGGAAGAGGAAGAGGAGGAGGAGGAGGAGGAGGGGAGGAGATAGCATTCCAGACAAGTGATGGAGGTATCCGTACGACCGTGCCGCCTACACGGCGTGAAATACAACCAAACATAGTTTGAGAGTAAACAGCTACCTCAGTGCCCAATGAAAAACACTGGACTACAACTAAGCACGCACGCGCATGCAGACACATAGAACACTTGTCATTGGCTCATGTGGATATAGGTGATCGACGAGGAAAGAAGAGACCATGGAATCGCACAATGAAGTCTCCTATGGCTTACCGACATTCTGGCAGGTTGTTCCTGATGCCAAGCGGTTGCACTGGCACATGTTATCAATGCACTTGCCATTGCCAGAGCAAACCTCGCCGTTTCGGGCCCCACATGCAGCCTGCATGGAAGTGGTGGCAGCTACGCACACGAACAAATACACATATTCCCAGAGGTTACGTCGTAGTCTCAGAGTGTCATGCATCAGGCAACACACATTGCTAGATATTCATAGAGGGCTCACTTGCATGCTGCCTACATGCACTACAGCTGTGAACACAATGAGATCCGGAAAGACGAATGATGTCAGTGAGCGGCTGCAGCAGTACACAGGTAAGTTTTTGCAGATCTGGAGCTGCATAGCGCATGTTGCTAGCTGGGACATGGTGCACAGATTTCATTGAACAGCACTGGGTATGGACCAGGGACTGCAGAAATGTGCCTTTGGCTGAAAGAAATTTCTGATAAAAAAATCCTGCGACGAACATCAAAAAAGAGAAACACAATCCTTTTCCTCACTTCTGGAGAAACATTAGTAAATTCTATTCTCATGCGGAGGCAGGCTTAGGTTGTCCCTTGTCTATACAATAGTATGGGTAAGGGAAAACAAATGTCCACTCTACTGACCTGGTACATGTATTAGGCTAAGCAGACCAAATTGATTGCAAGCACAAACTGGGACCATATTACTGTATCAACTCAAAATCTCGTGGCTTACCGGTGACGTTCAAATCAGCGCAAGAGTGGAAGATGTAGTTAGTTCCCCATTCCAGCGCCTGGTGGCGGATGTGCAGTGTGCATGTGGAGCCATTGGCCGCCGCACACGTAATTCCAGCTGGCAGCGTGACACGGAGATGCAGAAGTCTGCAGAGAGAGAGAGAGAGAGAGAGAGAGAGAGAGAGAGAGAGAGAGAGAGAGAGAGAGAGAGAGAGAGAGAGAGGGAGGGAGAGGGGGGGGGGGGGATACTAAGCCCTTGTCGTTCACCGGTATGCTAAGTTAGTATACATACTATTTCAGACTGTGTAATAATCACGTGGTAACTGCACTCTTCATCCACTGCATGATCGCACTGCAATACAGTAGAACTGCTTTCCAACTACAGTAGGTATCGGTTATAGCGTGGGTGTTTGAAAAACGACATTTGATTCTTATTGCCGATATTTCTTACACACGATAAATCACGTGTGACATATCATATGCACGTGTGACATACAGGTATCATAATTATAATTATGCACGCACGTTTGGCATGTGGACACGTACAATCATGTAGGTCTACACATGATACACACGGATCAGACTCGCGGTCGTGCTAGGCGACTGCGGAGCAGCAGATACGAGAGAGGTCGGAAGAAAGAGTCCGACTGGACAGAAAAAGTGATTCTCCGATGCTCAGTTTGACATAACTCTCCTTTTGTGTTGAATATTATTGTACAGGTAGACTCCCTTTAATTCGAACCTCAAATTGCCAGGCCCTAACTTCGAATTATCCAGAACTTCTAATTATCCAAATGCAGCCCCATGCACTGATATGTATGTCAAAATGCTTGAAATCACGTGCTGAATATTTTTTTGCACATTTTTATTTGCATCAACGAAACATACATTGTAGGTGTTCGTACCGCGCCGGTCATGTACAACGCGGATCATCTAAACACTGGATCGACACAAAATCATTTTGACATTATCTTCATCTTCTAGTGAAGAAGTTGTCAGTCACTGCAGCTTTCCTGAAACGATTTCAACGGAAAAGAACTGCGCTGCCTAATCCGCGTCATGAAAGGCCGTCGGACAGCAGCACGTCGTTCTGAAGAACGGAAGTGGAGCATAGGCATAGACAATATTTACGACAATAGTGTTGTTGTGCGCCAACATCTCCACACACGAGCTGGCGCGGCAAGAAAGGCCATCGAGATCCCCGAAGAGAGTCAGCCACCTGGAAGAATCAAACCTTTGCAATTTGCCTCGCACGGGCTTGAATCAAATTTCGACAGAAGGTGGGTTTCTTGAACGCTATAGTCGATCCTGCAGCGGACCATTGATCGATTTTTGAGCTACTCTTGGCTAGAGAAGGAGAAAAGAATGAACTTCGAATTACAAGGATAGCAACTCAATCTCACTTCGAAATAAGCGTTCAAAGGACATAGCCAATGTACTGTAAACAGCTCTTCTGTACGAAGACTGGGTTCGAATTATCCAACCGGCGCACTTTTCGTACTTCGAATTATGCGTTCGATTTTGACTTGAAGTGACTTGCAGAAGATCGGTACGACGAAAAAGTTCGAATTACACGGAATGTTCGAATTATACCGTATTCGAATTAGAGGGAGTCTACCTGTATTGAGTATGCACAGAGCACGGATGTTATTACTACAGGCGATACACTTTGCACTAATCTGGCATATTTTGCTACACAAAATCCATTCTTAGGGCCGATATATTCTACTATGCGATAATACTGCTTGTAAGAATAAATATACACATAAAATATGTGTTATGATTATGAAAAAATGAGTGTTCATTCTTGTAGGCAGTATATTCTTGTATACGACCACACTATAACCGATACGCACTGTACATCACTGAACCGACCACCTCACCAACCCAACCGACTCCTTTTTGCCCGGACCCACATTTTCCTCCATATGTTTTCATACAGGATGATCACTTTCACACATCGCACTACTTTGCGCGGTTCAAAAGGTGATCGGAATTCCGAGGTTCCATTGTACAAGAAATGGACAAATACATGTCTCTTGCCCTACCTCCCTCCCCCCCCTTCTCTCTCTGTCTCTCTGTCTCTCTCTCTCTCTCTCTCTCTCTCTCTCTCTCTCTCTCTCTCTCTCTCTCTCTGTCTTGTCATTGTTTGTTGCAATGACTGGTAGCAGGATTCAGGCATTTGTGGGCCTTACGTTGGATCATCAGATCGCACGAAACCAGTCGTCAGGTTGTACGTTGCAATCGGAGTCAGCAAGTTGACCTCCACACCACCCTGAGAACACACAAGATACACAGACACACATGCAGAGAAGATACACAGACACACATGTATAAACAGATGCCGCAAAGATGTACACACAGGTAGACACACATAACAGTTACTAAGGCTTGCATGGTCCACACAGCGCGAGTGCAAACAGCGCGAGTGCAAACAGCGCGAGTGCAAACAGCGCGAGTGCAAACAGTGCGAGTGCAAACAGCGCGAGTGCACACAGCGCGAGTGCACACGATGCCCAATGATCATGTTAACGTTGACCTCGGAGAAGCAACAATTGTTTTCCCTTTGATCAGTTAGTGCCCCATGCAGTGCAATGTACATTGAGAGTGAGAGAAGACATCGTAAAAGGTGACACATGGTTAGTGAAATTGATCATGTGTCACATTTTAAAAGGTTTTCTCTTTGCCTACTGTTGTTACGAAATCTAGTACGTTTTCAAACTACCACGCTGCGTACATCTACACTAATCCTAGCTTCAAACAACCACTTCGCCTGCGCTAAGTTCTCTCTGTCAGATATTCTTCAGACTTTTTTCCCTTTTCCATTCCCTCAACATATGAATAAAAAAACAAAAAAACAGTCCCCTTCATTATTTTTCAGAAAAACAGTCTGATTAGTAGTAAAGTTATTAGGAAGTTTCAAGCTTACTTGGCTTGCATAACCTTGTAGAACTACTAGTATAGGCGCAGACCATACAACATGACCGTGTGTGTGTGTGTGTGTGTGTGTGTGTGTGTGTGTGTGTGTATGTGTGTGTGTGTGTGTGTGTGTATGTGTGTATGTGTATGTGTGTGTGTGTGTGTGTGTGTGTGTGTGTGTGTATGTGTGTGTGTATGTGTGTGTGTATGTGTGTGTGTATGTATGTGTGTGTCCCATATGGTGCAGTGGTATGTGCAGTCGATTTCCAATCGAGAGGTTGCGGGTTCAATTCCCGACGATTATGGTCACACACGTCTTTCTTCACTTTCTCGGACTCTTCCTGACTTTTCTTTCATTCTCCTGGGTGGTTACCAACAGCCAGTGTATGCTGGAGTATGTGGTGTGGTGTGTGTGTGTGTGTAGAAAAAAATGGAAAAATGAAAAATAGGGATTCACTGGCCAGAAAAAGTCACTTCAAACAGCTGTGTGGTGGATACCAGGCTAAAAATAGTGGCGGTCAATTCATCAGCCTTGCAAGCTATAGAATGGTGTAATCCCAGCACAAGTTGCTATGTCTAACATAGCTGTTCGCTATCATCGCTTCCGCGATGGGCATGTCTGAGGTGATGTATGTGTGTATGTGTGTGTATGTGCATGCGTCTAAAACCTGCTATCTCATTACTATAATTATTATTTCCGAGAAATTGCCTGCGCATCACGGCATCAACGCCAAACATGACACGCAAGCAAGGGAACACTGCTGCCAATTTCAATGACTCTGTATTTCTGTATTCCGGCTGTCGCTTCATTGTAGTATTAATGCATTTTTGCTTGATCACTAGATTGATGTGGCACGTCCACAGAAACTGCCGTGTCACCCATTACATGCACACGTTGCAGGCACCAGACAACAAGGTTGTCTGACAGGAGTCTGGGAAATGCACAGAACCAATGTCTGAATGGCAAGACCTCGCCATGCAGCCAGTGGCCCACCCAGTCTGTTGGCGACGTGCGACGCGTGAAACAGCATCTGTCAGATTTCACTGCCAACCTAGTGCCGACATGCTGCTGTCAGCACTGCTGCATGGGCTGCATGGGCTTACGACAGACCAATGTATGCAGCAGGGAATGCGAAGGGTGGCGGTTTGGCGGTTTAGACCGTGGGCACAGAACGGGGCCATAGGCATTGGTCGGGGACCATTTTAGGATAGCGAGCATTGTTTGACAGTCCAGTGCTCCACTGTTCACTGGCACATGTCTAAACATGCGTCTTCAGCCGTGTAGTATGCGTTTTTTGCGTCGTCTTCAGCCGTGTAGTATGCGTTTTTACTCATCAGAGTACCAGTTGCCGATGCTGTCAGCATCTCAGCATCATAATCAGTGCACACAACACTACCCCCTAGGCAAAGAAATCCGTGTTAGTTAGAGGGACGCTTCCGTACGTTCCTCAAATATCCTCAAGGACAACGGTTAGCGTTGCATTGCTAAACATTTCCCCATTATGCCAAACAGCATTCACACAGGAACAAAGCACACCCATTAACTTCTCTTATGAAGAAAAAAAAGTTTCCAAATTACTGAGAACTACATGGAAACAAACTGGATACGTTGAATTCACGTGCGCCAATTGTCAGTGCATACGGAGGAACACAACAGGCTGGATTGTTTATTCATCATGTGATTCTTTCACTGATCCACTATTACTTACTCTGTGCGCAAAACCAAGATGCCAACTGACGTCGATTGTGCTGCCAGCTGCTACGGTGGTCACAATTTGAGTCTTCGGGTCTGCAGTTCACAGGCATATGCAGCAAGAAGAAACCCACAAGAGAGAGAGAGAGAGAGAGAGAGAAACATCAACAACACACACCTCACAGCAGAGCCTAGGATTAGGCTCAGAAAAGCGCATGAAACTAGCCTTGTCTGAATGCCTGCACATCCTTCCTACGGTTCAGTCACTAAACTCTCCATGGTTCTAGCAGGTTGGACACAGATGGCAGTATTTATTGTGTGTAATGATTTTTGGACATGGTGCCCCTGAAACAAGATATCCCCTAAATACAGGGTCACTTGGGCTTGGTGGTTGTTCTGTGAACTGAATGCGAGGGAATGGTAGTCGATTCTCGCACACATAGTTCGGCTTCGCCCCAGTCTTTGTCCATATCTGGCTAGGCTGCATACTGTTTAGCCAGTCAAGTTTACTTTTAAGGTTGTGGATTCGAGCTCCACTTCCACAGCCATAGCCTCATACTCAAAGGGGAGAAGTAGCTGTGACATTAGTTGACGGGCTCTACACTGTTACTTAGCACAAGTGCAACCCCTATCACTGCTACTGCTATAGCACAAGTGCAACCCCTATCACTGCTACTGCTATAGCACAAGTGCAACCCCTATCACTGCTACTGCTATAGCACAAGTGCAACCCCTATCACTGCTACTGCTATAGCACAAGTGCAACCCCTATCACTGCTACTGCTATAGCACAAGTGCAACCCCTATCACTGCTACTGCTACTGCTAGAGCCGGCTGGCATGGTACAGTCAACTTCGCGTAGAACGACACTCGGCGGGGCATCAGAAAAGTGTCGTTATTCGCGAAGTATCGTTATACCCGAAGTCCCATTATATGTATTACAGTTGGATGGGACTTTGCTCTGGGCATGGAAATTCTGTCGTTATTCGCGAATTGTCGCTATATCCGCAGTCGTTATTAGCCAAGTTGACTGTATACATATAATAACCTTTTTTCATATTTACAACGGCTATTTATTAAAACAATTTACTACCACAAGTACATACTGTCATTGGCATCACTGCTACAGCTAGTAATACACTCAGGCACAGACAGTAATTAGTAAAAGCACAAATCTAGACACTGCACTGGCCGATGCGTGATCATGGTGATGGGTGGCTCCGCAGACCTCAGTACACCGTCAAGTATTCTGGACGCTGAAATGTCCGCCAGGGCTTCGTCGACCTTGCTTGTTTCCTACGAATGGTTGGTGAAACCATTGAAAGTACCGGCAGGCGAATCCTTCCATTTCCAACAGCCAGCCACCTAGACTAGTACTTAGTAGATCTACTGCGGAGACTAGTGCAGCCTGGCACGCGTCAACACCCACTACTCAGCCACAAGCGGACAGCGCACTGCACAACGAGTCGTATACGCGTAGACTCTACTACTACACAGAAGAAAGTAATAATTATTAGTTAGTTAGTTAGTTGAGACCAGTGGCGGATCCAGGACTTGGCCGAAGAGGGGGCCCAAGGTATCCGCCCCCCCCCCCCAAAACAAAACAACAAATACAACAACAACAAAGTCCTGAAGCTGTGAAGAGCAGTTGTTTTTAGGGTCCGGCGGATTCTGCCGGCAGAAAAATTGACAGAATTCGGTACTTTTTCTGGTAAGTTTCATGGATGTTTGGTATGTGGATAAAAATACTACAGTATGGAGCAGAATTCGAGGAATTGCCCGCCATAAGGTTTGTATGATTCTGCCAATTTCACTGCTTTTCGAGCAGAATATGCCACCTTTTCGAGCAGAATCCGCCGGTTTCTAGTTTTATTCCATTCTCACGACATTTTCAAACTGCACTGGAACATTTCCACTCGACAGCGGCCGCGACGGACCTTTGGACGGCTCTCCAACGCGAGTTCTCTTATCTACCGGTCCACTGAAGAACGACCTGATGTCAGACCCTTTCCTCTTCATCTCATATCTGAAGGTAACCCGTTGGCTACAAGCGAAGTAGAGAGCTAGAGAGCGTATACTTGTAGTTTCTGACAATTGAAAAAGAAAAAAGGAAGGACGAAGTCGACAGCACCGTGCACCATACAGGACTTCAGCCCAACGCGATCGCTGCACTATGTACCAGGCCCTGCATTTTTGGCACGTTTTTCACATGTTTGAAGTGCGGCCGTGTCCTCAGGTCGCAGTGCGTACAGTAGTTGTACACCGGTACACAGCGCGCTGACTAGTACAGACTCATGCTCGGTACGTGACACCATGTACCGGAGTGTCGAGCGCTCATTCTACAGTCTACTGTAATCCTAGACCAAGGTCGAAATTTTCAAAGGGGGGGCCCAGGCCCCCTGGGCCCCCCCCTGGATCCGCCACTGGAGACTCAGTCAGAGCACAGATCACAGCCACCGCTTTCCACAAAACAGACTACAAATAATTACAATGTAGAGGCCTGCATGCGTGCATGTACCGGCACAAACAAACAGAAGGATTTGGTCAGTGACTTGGTCGTGATGTAGTGCTAACGAGGCATTAGAATTACTTCGCGAAGCGCAACGCTGGTAGCGTACATGTAGGCTACTAGTACTACTAGGAACGTATCGACTGAAAACAGAATAATGGCCTCAGGTAGATCTACACGAAGGTCTACAAAGTACTGGTAAGCAATAGTCAGTGAAGCCGACACTCGCGACAGTACATTCGTAGATCTACTCCCAACAACATACGGAAGGAACGGACTTTCTATTCCACCGACGCGACGCGCGCCAGTAGGGCGTAACACCTTTTCAGCCTTGCCCGGACTTTCAAGTAATAGTACATTTGGTATATACATGTATGTCTAACATGGGCAGATGAAACCTGCATTATATATAGTCAAGTCTGGTCTACTGTTGTGTGCGGATGCAAATTTTGGTGCTCCGCCGTTTTTCAGATATCTTTCAGGGTAGCCTCTAGCCCTTATACTTTATTTAGCTGATCAGTACTGAAGTAGATTGCGTAGTGCTTTGGAAGACCATGCCAACCTCCTCATCCCATAGTCCAAGTGTTGGGACGGGATCTTTGCATGCTCGGCTCAGTGGAGGCAAGTCCAAAGCTGTTAGTCCGCCTGATACACTCCGCTCGCAGGCACCACGATTAGCGACCCAGGCAGGACAGGGCAATGATGACGAGCTGCGTAGGATTTCTCATATGCTGAAGGAAATTCGCAACGAGCAGACGGCCAGTAAGGAGACCCTCAATCGTTTCATGGATGATGTGCTGACAAGGATGGAGAAGGTCATGGAGGAGTATGACGTGATGAAGAAGACCCTGTCATCTTTCGAACAACGACTTGCTGCACTTGAAGGGAGTCCCGTACCCGCACCCGTACCCACAGCGACAGTACTAGCTCCACCTGATATTTCCGCTCTGATTCAAGAGGAAGCTGAGCGACTAAACCGGAAGCAGTACGCTATCGTACGTGGAATTCCCGATATGGATGGGGAAAAACTAGAGGAAATCTGCTCGAGAGCCCTGAGGGTCGACCAAACCGCCTTATCTTCCACGGAAAGGCTTGGCACGGTGCGTACTACGGGCACACAATCGCGTCCAATACGGATCAAGTTCCAGAAGAATGCCATCAAAGGCGAAATTTATCGCAGGAGATTTGACCTGAAACTCGATGATGGCTCACCTGTATACTTCTCCAACGATCTTACCCGAAAACAGCTGCAAAAAAGGAAGACAGTACTACCACAGTACAAACATCTGAGAAGTAAGGATGTCAAATGCCAACTCCCGTATGATGTCATTCTTGATGAGAAGGGTGTCCCACTAGCACTCGACAATCTACCTGCTCCTGCATCGAGCTCTCAGCCATAGGACATTCCTGGGGACCCTAGCTTAACAATTGCCCATTTGAACGTTCGTAGCCTGCGCCATAAAATTCAGCAAATCCACGAAATACTGCATGACAATGAGATCCATATATTATCTATCAATGAAACTCATCTGGATGGCAGTGTCAGCGACCACTTGCTCCATATCCCTGGATACAGTATTTACAGGAAGGACCGTTCCCTTCATGGTGGTGGTGTCTGTCTGTATGTTTCATCCAGTCTGAAGGCAACAGTAGTACATGCTAGTAGCCACCCTGAGCTTGAAGCTCTCCACATTTTAGTCCGTCAGGGAAAGGACACAAGAGCTGAGAAGTTTATTGTCAGTTCCGTGTATAAGCCTCCCAGCACTGGAGTGGATTTCTGGGATTGTCTGAGTGCCCAATTGGACAGTCAGCCAGTGCCAAAGAGTAAGCGAATTATCCTGGGAGATTTTAACACGAATGCTATCCCGCCTCACTCTCCTCAACTCAAGTACCTCAACCAACTCTGTGCAGAGCACTGTCTGCACAATATCATCACAGTACCAACACGGCTACCATCGAACACGTGCCTGGACCTGGTTCTACTGGAAGCTGGGCTTTGCCATGAGCAGCCCTCAGTCACTGCCGTGGACGACCTTAGTGACCATCACCTCGTAGTGTTTGACCTCCATCTCCACAGCTGGCACCGCATTCAAAAGCACGCCTATCGCAGTATTAGAAAACCTGGTATTGCCGCAATCGACTTCCGAAAGTTCAAGGAGGACGCCCGAGCACTTCTGGCAGTCAATTACAACGATGCAACTATTCATCTTCAAGCCGAAACTTTCCTGACATCACTAGCTGACCTTACTAACCGTCATGCTCCAGTGCAGCTAGTCAGATACCCAATCTGTCCTAAACCTATACCTCACTCTTGGACAACTGCTGAACTGCAGCAGCTGCACCATACACGGAGGAACTTACACCGACAGCTTCAGCGTAGGCCAGACGACTCAGCTCTTAAACAAAGGTATCGTGCAGCCAGGCGTCAAGGAAAGCGCTTGAACAGACAACTGAAGTCACAGTTTTTAATCAAGAAATTCCAGGATCTAAGGAATGACCCAAGAGGGCAGTGGCGTCTGCTTAACGGCATGACTGGTCGTAGACCCACCCGGAACCAGCCCACTGCATCAATTTCGTCGCTGACTGATACGTTTGCGGCCATTGTTCAAGACACCAACAGGCCTGGGGTTCTACAAATTCCACCTGAAGACAATGAGCAGCTACCTCATCTCACGAATTTCCAACCAGTGACAGTACAACACGTGTCCGATATTCTGAAGTCTCTTAATTTGTGCAAATCACCAGGTCCAGACAACGTGCTACCATCCATACTGAAGAATGGTGGAGATGCTATTGCTGAGTACCTCACGGACATAGTGAACGAGTCCCTCCAAACTGGTAATGTCCCCACCGTCTTTAAGCAAGCTATCATAAGTCCACTTATGAAATCTGGAGACCCTGATCTGGCGGCAAACTACCGCCCAGTTTCGCTGCTGCCTATATGTGCCAAGGTATTAGAAAGAATAGTACTGGACCAGATAACGAAATTCTTCGCAGATAATGGCATTGAACACGTACCAGACTCTCAATTTGCGTACCGTCGCAACCACTCTTGCGAAGACTGCTTGGCTCTAGCTGTGAACAGATGGCTTTCTGCATTGGATAGCAACGAATACTGTGGTGTCATCTTCGCTGACATGAGCAAAGCTTTTGACAGAGTGGCACACTCCGCCCTCATCCAGAGTCTACATGACACAGGCATCAGAGATGTTGCCTTGAATTGGTTTTGTAGCTACCTGTCTGACAGAATACAAACTGTGAGAGTTGATCAGGAACTTGGACAGTCACGCCCATGCTCCAGAGGAGTGCCCCAAGGCTCCGTTCTGGGCCCAGTCTTGTTTTGTATCTACATTCGCGACATAACACCCTGTTTTAGGTTTAGCCAAGACCAGGAATATGCCGATGATATTGCATTTTATGTCCGGCATAGTGACTGTGATACTGTGTTGGAGCGTCTCACGGCGGACCTTGCTGCTCTGGACAGCTACCTTACAGGGAAGGGACTGGTTCTTAACCCTGATAAGACACAATTTCTGCTACTACGTCGCCCAACTAGTCCCTTACCCACCACTGTGTCCATATCATGCCGCAACTCCACTCTCTATCCTGCGCACACAGCCAAATACCTGGGCCTCATTGTGGATGAGCACTTGGCATTCGATGCTCAAGTAGAGCGAGTTTGCATTGCCGTCAAGCAGAAGGTCGGAGCCTACAAGCATGCCAGGCAGAACCTGAACCACAGAGCACGTCGTCTTTTCTATCTATCTATTATTCAATCCACCCTTGAGTATGCTAGCTCTGCCTACATTAACTGTCTATCTCACCGTTCATACAACCAGCTGATCACAGCCAGCCGTACTAGTCTTAAAAGAATATTTGCCCTTGACCGCAGAACTCCCACTGAGACCCTGTACGCTTACACCAAGATCTACACACTAGAGCAACGCTTAAATTTCAAGCAATACGTCTTTGTCTTTCGCTGTCTGCATGGTTTATCTAGCCCACTTCTCAGCCTCCTATTCACTCCCCGCTGCACTGGCCCACATTCTGCTGCCACAACTCGGGGCCAAGCTACAGCTGCTCTTGTCTTGCCTGCCTGCCACTCCCGGTATGGTTTCCATTCCATTGCGTATCTTGGTGCCGACAGGTGGAATGCGCTGCCTCCATCTTGTCGCCTGGCCGAGTCGCCTGCTTTGTTTCGCGCTCACACAAAGTCTCATTTAGGGTTCCCAGTAAAAAGGCAACATTGCCTGTTGGGAAATCCCTAACAAAATAAGAAAAAATAATAATAATAATAAATAATAATAATAATAATTATTTTATTACAAATGTACCGTCGACATGATCATTCAAGTAGTTAGTGGACATGAGGATCGAGGGTGCAAAGGTCATAGCAATGTCGGTACAGTCTCTTAGTCTTCCTCTCACACTCTGCTAAAAACAACGAACATTCATTGACGGATTGGACAGAGGAAGTCAGGTTCTTCTCCAGTTCCTCCCACAACCCTTAGCGTGAAACAGTCACATCCGCTCAGTCAGAGTTCGCGAGGTTCGCGAGGTGAACAACAGCTTACACAGAACTATCTAACAATAGTAACCGATCAGTAACAAGCTCCCGAAGCGTACCGAATGGAACTCCACAGGGCAGTCCGCTGCGGATGTTGTCCAAGAAATCCAGTTGCGGATAGCGCGCCTGTGGCCACGTCAGTCTGATGTGAGCCAGACAAGCTGGCACACACAGCAGCAGGAAAACTAGCCGAACATCCATGATCTCTTAGTCTTTGCTGCACTGCAGGCCTAACTGAACGCTGTAAGCACACAAGCAGGGAGGAACAGAGCAAAAGGCCGACACTGAGCTGATCAGTGAAGCTGAATCAAGTGCCACTACTACAACTACTAGCAGATCTGGCGCAGAACACACGCCCATCTGCATCGGTCAGGCATCAATGGGCGTCGCTAGTGGAGACGACACTGTCGCCTAATGACAGTACACAGGACCATCGTCTCCTAACTAATACTAATACTAGTGCCTTTCCGTGCTCAGGCCTAGAAGAAACAGGACATTTGCAAGAACACCACACACTATCTTCTTAGCTTACTTCAACAAGCGCCTGGTGAATCGCCCGAGCTTCTACTAGTGAACTGAGCTGAGGTGCGAGATGGTCAGCTACTTTATTCGCACTCCTCACCCCCCGTACTGCCGACTCTCTCGATCTGATCTTCGCACTGAGTCTGTCACCTAAGCCGAACACACACTGTGACATACACTAGACGTGTCAGTGATGATGATTTCGGCAGGATCCCAAGGTCGCATTGCACACATACATGAAAACTGCACGCATCCATGATCATGATGATGCTGGTATAGTACACTAGATTCCAGAACGATGCCGCCGCGTGCCTCACACGCCTGGCGCGGAGGCTCGGATTGATCGGGCGATGATCATGGTGATGAACTAGCGAGTGGCGTTACTTCTCAAATTCCACACAGCTGGGACGTACATCACCGTACAGTGCACTATACTATAGTATAGTGGAGCCTAGTGCGGAGGGGGTGAAGCCTGAAGGAGCAAAGCACGCATGACTTGCAGCTTTTCACCCAGCTCTCAATCGTCACTTGGTCGCGACAAAATGGCTTCTTCCCAATGACGATGCAACCATGGTTCTTGGGATTTCATTTTACCGTTTCGTCGGACGGTGGCTGGTAGTACCCAGAGAGTCTGCCCACCACTGACTGAGTCTGTAAACAATAATATGCCTTGTAGTGGCCACACGTGGCGGTTGTGGCAACTATACATTTAATGGTTGTAGTGACTTAGATTGACAGCATGAAACAAGGTGGAGGACACTGTGTTCGGAAACAGTGACCCTACTAGTACTACAACCTTCCACGGTTGGCAGAGCCCCGGTCCATTAGGACCATTTGAACCATTATGAGTTTGTAGTGACTTGTACAGTGAGTGTACAGTGATTGTACAGTAGTAGAATACAAAGCCGCACTTTCGGTTCACCATGGTTCACGGTTCGGTTCAGTCTTCAGACGGTGAAGATTGAAAAGCTTACATTACATGACTGTGTAGTTTTTGTTGTTGAGTCGTATCGCCGGCAGTCCAGACTCCTGTGCATGCACGGACTTACGCATTCACGGACTCACGCATACAGTATCACTCAGATGTCCGTTCTAGCTACCGAGTAGTGTCAGTATGACACTTGTGGCGTTGTGCTCACTGCTCAGCTCAGCACGACAGTAGTACATGTACTACTGTCGTGCTAGAAGTCATTGCGCCTAGCCTAGACACGCCTACCAAAGCGTCACTTGCACAGACTGTGAAGTGTACTGTATGTATCTCTGCCCGACCTTGTGCAGCAGGTGCAGGTGCCGAGATGCAGACCCACTAGTAGGTCTACACTACAAACAGACGACATCCAGATCGACGAGATAGACGACATAATTATTACTAGTAGTCATGACTCATGTATGATCTACCACTAACTAACTAAAAGTAAGTTACTTGAGCGCGTATGTCTTTACTATACAGGCAGAAGAATTCGTGGGTCAATAATTATTTCGTCCAACTGCAAAGAAAAGGGAGTTCATCCGGTTGAAAATTTCGTCCATGGATCACAAGAGTGAAAAAGCTGGACAAATCGTCCAAAACTTCAAAGCTCCTTGGACGAACACCAGGCCAGGGAGTCGTAAAGCGCTTCCCTGGTCTAAACGTTACGTACATAGGAGTCATTCAAACACGTACACAAAGTCATGCACGTAGATCTACGTGTAGATCTACTTCAACTCCCGGGCGATCCCGCCTGCTAGTACTGGAGTAGTACAGTACTGGCTAGACGTAGACAGCACGTGTAGCAAAACAATGATGATAGTTGATACTAGTAGTCATCACCCGTCGAGGATGGTGATCAGGGTGAAGTAAGTATGACGATGATGTATACTAGTATGTGATTGCGAGGCACCTTATCCAGAATGATTGGCAGATTGCTGGGAACAAGACATTTCGAACGTCGGTTCACAGGTTTCTTACAATCAAACATGCACCGCTAGAATGTGCGTGATGCAGCACCTTTCTCATCACGAGTAGATCTAGTACTATACAACAGAAGACACGAAAACAGGCACAGACTACCATGGACTACTGTACAATGATGTAGAGTTAGTTATCACATCGTTGACTTCCTCAGTTCCGGTGACATTGACAGTGCTGCATATTGACAGTTCCGAATGTACGTAGGTCTACTACGTGTATCTGCTCATCATTAATTTTTTGATACTACAATAATTATGTCTACATGTACTGTACTGAGAGTGAGAACTAAAATACTGTAAAACGCGTTTATTCACAAAGCCAATCGCGTGCGTCTTTCCTGTGGAATGAAAGAGGAGGGAGAGAGGAGAGGAAAAACGAGTGCTATGTATGACCTGGTTCTAAATAGGTTAAAATAATAAGACATGCATCTTGTACATGTAAGTAATTAGTTGCATGGGAGATATGCTTAGTTCAATGCACGTGGGTAATGACCAGTACTGCATCGTGTATTAAAGCGATTGTTTTTCTTCTACATGATTGTATTCATCGGACATGCACGGTATCGACAGGCATTGATTGATACTGTGTACATGCACTATAATACATGTACCGGAGGAGAGGATCATCACTGTTATGTGTGAATAGTGTATTGTGAACACATGATGTATTGTGAACACATGATGTATTGTACATGTACATGTAAGTGTAACACAATCAACAGTCAGAAACACAGAATGAGATGCACTGTACCTGCCCACACGTCCACACTAAACCATGCTACAACTATTTTAACCCAGTATCAAACAATGCAGTGTACAGCTGGCTGTATTCCTTGGCTTTCTTTCCTGGCCATAAAACAACATACTGCAATATACATGTAGGTCAAAGCAGGGCCAATGTCGAATTGTAACTGTTGACGTGTTGTACTGTACCTGTAAAACCCAGAACCGGCTGAAGCATGATTGTTTTGTTTTCCATCCTGGGTGCATTCTCGCCCAGCATCGGTCAATGCATGCACAGGGCTGCTGATCATACCAATCTTCATATTCAAGGCACACCTGTTATAACTAAAGACGTGATTGCATTTTCGTTCCTAAGATCCTGAGGAGTGACTGGTGCGTAGTCGAGTCGACTACTAGTACTACGGACTAGTCACAGTCGCAGCGGCTATCCAGGGGGGGGGGTATGCTTTGGGTGCTCAAGCAACCCGCTCAAAAAGTTTCAACAGACTGTCGCCCGGAGAGACTCACCTCCTCTCCCCCTGACTCACTTGTGAGGTCTGCATTCGCCACTAAGGTGAAAAGGCATAGTGCACTGGTGGCCTGCGGAAGCGAAGGCTATAGCTTGTGTGTTTCTTTTAAACATTTCAAGTGATGCTAACGCGGATCCCGCGAATATTACACTGTAGTCTACTAAGGTCAACTTGATGCAGCCATGCCGCTAAACAGTATACTTTACATGCCATAATAATATGCATTCCGATTTGCTCAAATGACCGTCCGTTGACAAGGTCTTCAGTGAGGCTATCCACTAAAATGTGGCTGAATTTGACTTTGTTTAAAACTATTGTGCTCAAACTCCGAAAAAAGAAATGGAGCTGACCTTTTTTTCTCTCTACAAAATGCGTTTTTCGGTGGCATTTTTCCAACCAAAAATGTTGCCATCCACTCAGTGATGATTAGGACCATCGCATGACTGTCTTTCATGCGCCATGACACGTGACAGGACTAAAGGATACTTTTGCCTGTACTGTACTGTACGAGTACGTGGTTACAAGTATTTTGATAGCATTGTGCTGCAGTCCCTTCCTCCCTTCCTCACAGCAATGAACCCTTTCATCTCTTATTTCCCAGGGGACTTCTTCTCCAAGGCATGCAATCGCCTTTAGAAAATCTTTATAAATGAAATGAATGTCAAACCAAAAAATCAAACAAAAGATTGTCACTCGCTGAGTGATCATCCAGAATCGATTCCTTCCGATCCGTCCTCTATTACCTGCTTCATACAGAAGCTGCAATGGAACGAAGTAAATTTTGCCTTCTTGCCCTTTCAATCTGAATAGCCTTGTTATCAGCAGTCACAGCACTTTCTTCCGCCTCTTCTTGCTATCACTGTACTGTACATGATGTACTACACTGTACTAGTACTGTCTTCAAGTTTACTCTGGCATAGGCGGTGATGTTTCTTGAAAGGGGCATGCAATCTAACATACGTTAGCAAGACTTATATACATGTACTATACTAGTCTATAGTCTTGGATCTACTTCAAGTAGCTCCTTCACTTCAGGCGATATTAAAGTAAGTAACTAGTTTAATAGTTTCACTTTCAGGCTTCAGTGCGGAGAATTATCAGCTGTAAGAACACCTTTTACATGATTGTATTACAATGTCACGTTCCCGGGCACGTACAGCATACATGTACATGTACATGTACATACCATACGCACATTGCAAAGCAAAACCGGCACGTTCGGGCTCTCCGCCTTCCCTCGGCCGTGACTACTGTCTGAAAAGAAAAAAAATGCATGACGTGAAGTACCGGCTTCGGCAGCAACTAGGGAGGCACACTGCAAAGCACGGCTAATTATTTAGACTTGTAGCACAATGCAATGTACCCTACCACAACACTAAAACCTGCACCGCTTTTGGCTTGTCCATTTTCGGGTGCACAACAACATTGTAACATGACCAGCAAAACAAAGAGACGGGCCGTGTGTTGTGTTCGATGTGGCGATGCCCCAGGTCTCCGGCTGGAAAAAGATGCAGCACGGCAGCTAGCAGTCAAGCCAGTCATGAGCCATGGCCAGGGACTGGGAACTTTATTACAATGTACATCACTTAGGGCCCTTACACACTACGTACATGTAAAACGCAACTAACTTGAGCATACGTTGCGTATGCGCCAGCCTGATCAAGTGCAGTTGCACACTGCCAGGTGATCTGCTTTTTACGTACATGACTGTACTGATGTAGTGCAGTTCGGATGAAATGTTCTGCTCTCAGAACGAGTGCTGTGTGTGCTTCTTCGATTTCGTTCTGCATCTTGTGTTGGAGCCATGCCCATGGAGCTCAGGTTGACTCCGGCAAGGAGAAAGCGGCGACGTAAAATTGTTGCCGCCATGATATTGCAGGACCTGCAGAAGCTAGTGAAGTCGTCTGATGGCGGTCCTG